AAGTAGAATGCTTATGAGCATTAAAATTAAATTGATTATTGATTTAATTAAACGGAAGGGATTTTATTGTTCCAACGGAAGCTGTGTTTTAAGATCGACAAATAATCGGCGCGCAGTTTACTAGGTTGGAAATATGTGTATATTAAATACACACAGAAAATATTATTAGGCTATCGAGATCCAACTCCATAAGTGGCATTTTCTTTTAATTTGATTTGTATATCATGATAGTCATGTTATTCTTAATATTTAATATGAATAATTTATCGATATCACATTGGACATCGGACAATCGAAAAGTAATATTGTTCGTATTTTCTATACGATTTTCTACGATTTCTTATACATGAAATATAAACTTATATAAAATTTCAATGTCATGAGACTTTAAGAAATTAAAGCTTTTTGGGGGGGAATTCACAACCCAAAATTTTGTACACCAATGCCGATTTTTGGCATTGCTGTAAAACACTGCCGACATTTTCGTACACTGCCGACAATGCTTAGTCAATACCTACAATGCCGTCAATCCTATATATAAATAATATAAAATTAAGGCAATGCCATGCAATTATGAACACTGTCGCGTACTGCCCATTATTATACGTCAATGCCACCTCTATCAAGTTAACCCCCCCACTATTGCAAAAAAATCCGCACTTATTAAAAAATTTAGTGCTATTTATGTGCTGTTGCTCTAGTCCGGATTTTGTTGCTCAAGCCGTTTAGCAGGAAACGGCGATCGAAATGGGGGGGGGGCAGCTTGTCGCCATAATAAAAAACCTATATAGAGTGCTCAAATCCAAAAAACAAATACACCAGAATTTGTTGCTTTTTTGTTGCTCCAAGATAGCGTGAAAACATTTTTGAAATATAACGTTTTTTTAGAAAATACGGTAGGGGAGACCGGGGCTAACTCGACACCGGGGCAAACTTGACACTAGGCTTTTTGGCAATTTAAATCTATCGTAGAAACTTGCCTTTCCTATTGTAAATGCGTCTTTATGTGCCAGTATTATCAACGGAATTTGGTAACATTCTGAGTTATAGTGTAATTTTTAACGCGACATAAGCGTTTTTGATAGTGAAAAGTAATTTTTTTGATCTCTCGAAAATGGTCTACTCTTTCATCGAGCTTTCGGGCAAAACTAAGCGACGTACAGCAAAATTTTCTTAAGCAATTTTGTACCTGAAGGAACGCTCTTTAAATGTGTACCATTAAATTTGTTTGAAAATTTTAATTAATTGTTGAAAATTGCCTTTAAAAAAATTGTGTCGAGTTAGCCCCGGTCTCCCCTACGTAAGTATATCCGAATACTTAACAGACAGCACTATATTGACTACATCTTAAACAACATTATATTTCCAAAATATTTTTACACTATCTTAAAGCAACAAAATAGTAACAAATTCTGGTATAAACATTTATTCGATTTGAGCACTTTATATATTTTTTTTCGCATGGTGAGGGGTCAGCTTGACACAGAGATTCTAGCCCCACCACATACTAAAAAACACATATAGAGTGCTCAAATTTAAAAAAACAATACACCAAAATTTGTTGCTTTAAGATAGCGTAAACAAATTTTCAAAATATAAGGTTCTATAAACAATGCCACTAATAAATACTGCATCTTCGACCTTTATCTACAACTTCGATGGCTAAAAACTAAGTAAAAGAATTTGTTGCTTGGCTCTTTTTGGTTTTAAAGTATTCTATGGACCGTGCCCTATTAGAATATGCAACTTACGATTTTGTTGCTCGCCCCTAACTGCAAGTAAACAAATTATTTATCTCCGCGTCGACCGTTATCTGCGACTTTGATGGCTAAAAACTAAGTAAAGGAATCTGTTGATCGGCTCTTTTTGGTCTTAAAACTATAAAGTAAAAGAATCTTTTACTTATTGTTAGTTTTTAGCCATCACAGTCGTAGATAACGAGATAACGGCCGACGCGGAAATAAATAATTTGTTTATTTGCAGTTAGGGGCGAGCAACAAAATCGTAAGTTGCATATTCTGATAGGGCACGGTCCATAGAATATTTTAAGACAAAAAAGAGCTAAGCAACAAGTTCTTTTACTTAGTTTTTAGCCATCGAAGTTGTAGATAACGGTCGACGCGGAGATAAATAATTTGTTTATTTGCAGTTAGGGGTGAGCAACAAAATCGTAAGTTGCATATTCTGGTAGGGCACGTTCCATAGAATATTTAAATAACAAAAAGACCCGAGCAACAAATTCCTTTACTTAGTTTTTAGCCATCGAAGTCGTAGATAACGATCGACGAGGAGATAAATAATTTGTTTATTTGCAGTTAGGGGCGAGCAACAAAATCGTAAGTTGCATATTTTGATAGGGCACGGTCCATAGAATATTTTAAGACCAAAAAGAGCTGAGCAACAAGTTTTTTTACTTAGTTTTTAGCCATCAAAGTCGTAGATAACGGTCGAAGATGCAGTATTTATTAGTGGCATTGTTTACAGAACCTTATATTTCAAAAACTTGTTTACGCTATCTTAAAGCAACAAAAAAGCAACAAATTTTGGTGTATTGTTTTTTTTTTTTTTATTTGAGCACTCTATGAGTTTTTTAGTATGTGGTGGGGCTAGAATCTGTGTCAAGCTGGCCTCCCATGCAAAAAAAAAATATATAGAGTGCTCAAATCGAATAAACGTTTATACCAGAATTTGTTGCTATTTTGTTGCTTTAAGATAGCGTAAAAACATTTTGGAAATATAACGTTGTTTAAGATGTAGTCAACATAGTGCTATCTATTAGGTATTCGGATATATGTATTTTCTAAAAAAACGTAGGGGGCGTCCACTGCCGTACTGCCGAGTCAATGCCGGATAAAATTCGGACACTGCCTTAGCAATGCTATGCAATACCTCCTGCACTGCCACTGCCACATGTCATTATTACCACTCCCCAACCATTGACGACAATGCCGTCAATATTATAGGCCACTGCTTACTTTTTTCAGTCCACTGCCGAAATTTTGTACACCAATGCCGGCTGTGAATTTCCCCCCAAAGCTTTTATATTTTATGTTACTTTATTTTATTCTACTTTATATTGTAATTTTTTAATTTACAATATATTGTATGTTTTACAATATATTGTAAAATTTTAATTTACAATATCTTTAAACCTTAATCTTAAAATTTGATTAGGTAGGAAATGTCATATCTTTGATTTCGAGAAAAAAAATAGGATTCAATATTACGTGATGCAATTTATTGCGTCAAACAGCACGAATATAAACAAAATACAAATAGTTTCATGGTGTTAAAGACAATGTAAGGAAAATTATTTGACTGTTATATTAATCTTTTTTCTGAATTTTATATTCTGTTTTATACATACATATATTGTTATTTTTTACGCCATTATAGCGCATTTTTATTATCTATTCACTATAAATAAACATTTTTGTGCAATATACAATATACTCGATAAGAATACAAGTTTATAATAAATTTTCTGATAACGGAATGTTATCAAAAAGTAAAAAATTTTTTTAATTTTAGTAAAAAAAATATGCAATAAAGAAAATTTGAGTTTTAAAGAATATAGGAAAATGTGATTTATCTTCATATATGTATTTCACGATAAAGCTATTTGACCATTGACTATAGTTACTACATAGTTACGATTTACGACGTATGATATAGGACCTTAAATATAGGATGATTTTATGAGATATAGAATATTTTTCTGACTTCAATATTACATGTTTGCAAGCCTTTATCAAACTGATAACAAGTTATCTGTTGAAATCTATCTATTGAATCTATTTAAAGAATTTGTATATGGGGTAAAAAACGCAAAAAGGAGAGGAAGAGAGAAAGGTAATGCTATTACAAAACAACTAAGTGTAAGAAATAAAACTTGAAATTTGAAAAGACAGAGAAACGATATATAAATTTATTTAAATTTTCATATGTTATCTTGATTTCAATAAGAAACAAGAAATCATGAGGTTTGTTACGTATTATTGTTGTTTAAAGTGTAAAATGTCACGTACGATATAGAATTTTATCTTTTTTGAAATGTGTTTGCAAAGAAGTCAGGCTTTCTATTTAATCTTCTTAAGAGTAACAAAAATGTGACGGGATTTTTTTTTATTTCTAAACCTTCAGCAAAGAGAAACTAAAAAAAAAAATACTTAATGGAAGTTTGTCGTAAGAATTATATTATACGTTATGTAAAATTCTTTAATTATGTGTAAAAAGTAATAAATAAACTTTAATATGATTGATCGTCAAATTTTATATTTTGAACTTAGAAGTTACAAAACTTTAAATTTATCATGATTCAAAAGTTGCATTAAAAAATTTAATACCTCGAAATCATAATTACGGAATCCTGCCTTGAAACTTTACTAATATCCATGCCTTAGATAATATTAATTTGTCAACCGATCAAAATAGATTTATTCGCTTTGTGACACTTTGCTGCTGAACAATAGAATGAATAGATCTATTTTTTTCTGAGTCATGGCCATGCGTTACACATGACTCGGACGATTTATGTTAAGCATAAGCATGGAAAATTTTGAAATAACAACAAATATTCGCGTATTTTTTTGTATTTAGACAAAATAATTTCTTAATCATTAAAATAAAATTAAATATGCTAGTAAAATTTGATCAAACATGTTGGAAAGTCTTTTTGTTCTATTATAGCAGAAAGGCTACATTATTATTGCTGTAGCAATAGTGAACATTAAAATAAGATGTGTTTTAAATTATTGATGTTCACGTGATTATGATGTGTTTAATTATTTATAAAATGCTTCTATTTTATAGATATGTAATTTGATGTATTTCATAAATGTTTTGTTTGCTGCAATTTGCTTTTATTTGTTGTACTTTGGTAGATAATGTCTGGATATTTTACATTTGCATAAACTTTCTTTGTTTCATGCTATAAATTTATTATTATGAAATTATTTCTGAATAAAAATAAAATAATAATTAGCGTAGGATTTTCTTACCAGTTGCTGGGCTCTTGCTAGTCGTGAAGGTCAGGCGAGTTCTCTTTTTTTATACAACAGTACAAATTTATCGCTTGAGCGGTTTTATTGATATCGAAATGGTTAGGTTATGTTTTATCACACAGCTCTTTTTATCACAAACTTGCGCGTACAAAGTGTTAATGTAGTTATGACTAAAAAATATTAAATAAGAATAACGCAGCGCTTCATCGAGAGATTGTGTGACAGACTAGCGTCGTGTCTTTTGTGAGCAGACGCACTGAAAGCGAGTGTCGCGCGCTGTGAGATTATCTCATACTATTCGTCAGGGTCAATTGTCGCATACTTTATATCGTGTATCCGGTTGTCGCGCTGGTGGGAGAAACTCACTCCACTCGAATCAGAAATTATCGCATCGAACTTTGAAATATAAATATCTTTTTTTTATGTATAAGCAATTTTCTTACGTTCGCACGCGATGACTATGCGTATTTAGCGATGCATTTTCTTGGAGCACATATGTCTGAAACATTAATAATAATATACGATTGATTTACTTGTTCTTACTTAGAAAATTATGCTCGATAAGCATTCCTCCTTTCTGAATTTTTACAGGAATAACATATGCACCAGCGATAATATGTGTAATCAATTATATTTTACGATGCTATTATACTATAAAAGTATCGGACTTTGTGCAAATATATCACATATGTAACAATCCGTTCGGTATATATAAATCGTCCACTTGTCTAACAATGCATTTTGAATAGTAATGTTATAGCCAACAAAATTCCTTTTTTACATCTTTGCACAAATATTTAGACATTAATATAAAAAACGGAAGTTTTTCGCAATAATTTATTTTTAGATACAACTATCTTTCTATTTTCATTCTGTAATGCAATGTAGAACTTGCTCAAAAAATTGTTTTTTGAGATTGACTTCATGACATTAAAACCAAGATTTCATAAATAATTCATAGACTTACGATCACAATCTAGTAATAATTTTTCAACGTTGTTTTTACATCGCGTACAAATGTACGATCGATACAATTATGTTGTTGATACAAATAAAAAATAAATATGTTATTTTTAATGATTTATATTATATTAGTGTTATCAGATATATTATTTTTCAACATGTTATTTTTTTTATTATAAAACCATTTATAACACATATTAAACAATAATAAAGTTAATACGTAAAAATTATTTTGAAAAATTTGATTACTTCAGTGTCGTGAGGTCAATCTTAATTAAAAGACAATTATTGTGTATTATACAATGTAAATGATTTTTATTTCGTCTGATATTAAAACAGCGAACTGAGGGAAGATATTATATTCCAGCGTCTGGAGAGAACTCTACGAATATTACATTGTTCCGCGAACACGGTGTCTAATTGGGGAAAGCATTGCTACTTTAAATTCAAGATATTAAAGACGTTATATATGCCGACAGTAACGAGCGCATATTTACATATTAACTAAAAAATCTGTCCGAGTTAATATGCAAGAACTTATGTCGCAAAGGTTCAGCGTAACGTAATCTGCTTTCGCAAACTGAATTTTCCTACCGTCTGTGACTCTGGTCATGAGAGCTGCCTATTAATCTTTTTTAATAATTTAGTTCTTATGTTAGATTTCGATAACAATTTATGTTAAAATTGCACTTGTGCTTTTCGGCCGCTTTTTTAATTTTTAATGTGTGTTTTGTTTGTACATATTTCTAACAATTTGAAAATGAATATCAAGTGCCGATTGCTGCTCAAAGGAGATAATTTGAATAAGTTTATAAGTATAAGCGTGATACAAATATAATGAAGGGACAATTTATAATTGAGTACGGTTTTATGACAAAAAAATTACACGTTAAATAATATCTGATAACACTAATATAATATAAATCATTAACTCTTAGCTGGCACACTTCACCAGAATCACATAGCTGGCACTCTGGGACCGTTTCAGACCCCACCACTAAAATGCTTGCTGAGAGAAAGCTAATGATTTTTTTTACTTAAAAAAATTCCAAGATAGTCTTCGAATGTTGTTTTAACAAATGTCATAGGTTATTTTGATAAAATGTAATATTAAGTATGAAAAAAATTGAAGAACGTAAAAGAAAACGAAAAAATTGTTTTTACTAAAAAATTCATAACTTTTCTATTTTAACTCTTCCATTTTTTAGTACCATTTTCGTACTATAGGGAGGCTTAAATTAGAGCTGAACTAGGCTGGGGCGTTTGATACCCCACAGTACCAGCTAAGGGTTAAAAATAACATATTTATTTTTTATTTGTATCAACAATATAATTGTATCAATCGTACATTTGTATGTACGCGATATAAAAGCAACGTTGAAAAATTATTACTAGATTGTGATTGTAAGTTCTATGAATTATTTATGAAATCTTGGCACGGAAAAAAAAGGATTTGCTACTATACGGACGACTAACATTTTTTTGCTGCGAGAACTAATTAATTTTGCAATAATAGTAAAACCTTTTGCTATTAAACCTTTTGCTGCAATAGCAAAGTTCAGCAAAAAAAACTGTTGGCTATTGCAACAAAATGTTTTCCTATTATTGCAAAATTAATATGCTCTCGCAGTAAAAAATGTTAGTTGTCTCATATTTAACAAATAGATATGCTGTTACAGCAAAATATTTTTTTTCCGTGGGTTAGTCTTATTTTTACTTTGACTGCTGTCGCCTACAATACACACATAATTCGATCGCAAATTGAGGCTAATAAGCGTTGACATTGAAATATCATAGATCAAGGCCTACTCAATCGCTTATCGACTCTACATGGCAGTCGTTGTCGTTGCGTCGAATTAAAGACGAAGAATCATGCCGGTCGGTTTTATTGCCTGAAATCTCAACCCCTCAACGTCGGGTGAACAACCGACCCTGCAGTATAACCGGGGGTCGAAAGAGCGCACTTGAACGGTACTGTTGTAAAGTTAAAAGCATTGTTCCACCATGCTGGCCGTCCTTTAGAGGAAAGATACACTCGACTGTGAGATAGAAGACGAGGGGGTCGAAACCGGCACACGTTCCAGCAATGAATTGCATTTTTCTCGGCGAATTCTTCGCATACGTACATACGAATTACGCGGGAATGACGGGCGCTTTCGGTACTTTTCGGCCGGATTTTTGTCGTTAAAGCGTTTTCCATTTCGCATCACGTTGCCAACGGGAGAATCTCGAAGTGCGCATGGTAGACAATGCAAATGTTTCTACTTTGTTACAATGTTTTTATGTCATAATGCAATTTTTTATCAATTTTTATAAATTTGCCTTTAAAATGTTTTCCATATTTTTCCTGGCATATTTTATAATATGCCAGAAAGTAATGTCGTTGTTAGATAAAAAAATAATGTATCGTATTATATTAAACTATTACGTAATGTAATGTAAAATAGGTAGAACGAAAGTAAGGTAGAATGCAATGTACTCTGAGTGAAATGGTTAATTGAAACGAATGGATATTCTGGCGCTGAATAAAATTTTAGGTCATAAAAAATTAACGAATACATTTTAAGCCCATAATGGCACATTAAAATCCTTTGTCCTTTTAATGGGCCAATCAATGTAGATAGAGAGAGAAAGAGAGAGAGGGGGGCGAGGGGGAAAGAGATAGAAAGGGGGAGGGGGAGAGAGAAAGGAAGAGTAAAATAATAATATCTTAACTTTCGCATATTTAAAAGAGGAAAAAATGAACGCAAAGCATTACATGTATCTTTTCTGTCTGCATACTTATCGTTATTTTATCTCAGATATAAATAACGTATCTACATATCTGTTTAAACCAGACACTATTCGTTAACTAAGAAAATAACGTTGAGAAAATATTTTAAAATTATAACGGGTGTTTCTAGTCATTGTATTGTCCGCTGCGTGGAAGCTCGCTACTCAAACAGAATGTTCCACGATTTTACATACATTTCAACTCGATTAGCTTCGCGGCAGCGTATCGGTCTCATAACGGGTCGTTGGCATCGATGACAAAGTTTTCGGGGTTGCATTAGCATTCGTTCCCTCGCTGGCGGCGACGGTGGCGGCGGCGGCGGATGCCTGGGCTCGTGTGTAAACTCGGTGCCCGGAGGGCTTGCTTTGTTACAAGCCGCAGACCTCTGATACCGTGGCATACTTCATCGCCGAGTATTTCGAATACTCTTGGCATGATGTAGTTACACGCCCGACCTGGGGAAGATCACATTCTCCAGTTCCGGGCCCGGAGCTTAACTCCACAGTCTTAAACCCCCGCCGCTGAGCGTTCTGGCGGACTTATTCAGGCATCCCCTTCGAAATGGCCGAGCTCGTGCACGGCAGGAGAGAGAGAGAGAGAGAGAGAGAGAGAGAGAGAGAGAGAGAGAGAG